GTACGGTGAAATGTTTCTTCACCTCTACAGCGTCATATACTTGCTTTACCAGGGTGGTTTTTCCTGATCCTCCCATGCCGACCACGGAAATTACTTTCGGTTTTGAATTTCCCTTTATGAACCACCCCATCAGCTGCTCTTTTGGCTCATTAATGCCCACCAAATCAGTGCTGTCTAGAAGGAGGGCATCGCCTGCAGTACTAGAGCTTGAGCCTCGCTCAAACGTATTGAATTTGCCAGGGTAATTCAGTTGCCAGGTGGATATGTTTTTAATTCTCGCTTTGATTTTCTGTAATTCAACAACAATCTGATGGCAACCTTCAAGTTTCTTGATGATGCAGAAGAATTTGCAATGGCAAGCACGAATTCCACGCTCGTGTCTATCAGAAAGTTGATGCTTGAATTCATCAATGACATCGTCTATGTCATAGGCAATGTCTCTGACTTGCCTGACCCATTCTTTGGGCAGTCGCAGAACAATATTAATAGCCTTGAGGCCCTTTGGAATTGAGAGGAACGAATAAGACACGGTTTAAGGTAATTTTTCCTGGTTTCAAAACTTCTAATTATACCTCTACTCTGGATGCCTTCTCTTCTTGGTTTTTTTTTTTTTCTGGAATGTGCAAACAATGTCTTGTCTGGCTGATAATGATGTTTTGGTTGACTATATTTATTCTTCTTAAATAAGATCTTTGATTTCTGAATTATTCCCCTACTTCAACTAGGGAAAAAAGTTGTGTTCATTTGGGTTTCTGTATATCTCAAAATGTGCCAACTAACCCAACCTTTCTTTTGGAACCCCACCAGTTCTGAGAATTTCTGATGCCATAGGATATTCTGTAAAATACCAGGAACTGTGTCTCTTAAAATCTTCTTCGAAGCTACGGTTGATACATTTCCCAGTTCCCACATTATCTGCTTAACTTTATCAACGAGACCGCTTGATATAACAGGGAAGTATTGTGCCGAGGGAACTTGAATTACAAGTCAATCTAGAAGAGAATTAAACAATATGGCTTCACCCTTTCGTCTAGTAAAGCTGAAGATGTTCAATGAATCCTTCCATATTTCAGACACGCTAACGTTACCGGAGTACTGAGCATGTGATGCTTTGAAGGGGCTTGGCTTGCTTGGCAGACTGTTTAGAGGTTGGTATATTAGATTATATATATGCCAGTAAATAAAGAAAAGTTCGTTTTAGCCTTCCCAGCTACAGCGTATGTACATGAATTAGGTCATTAAATTTATATCAATTAAGAAGTTTTAAAACTATTTTCTAGTTGTGTGAAGAAGCAAACCGGAAGGAATATCATATGGGAAAGTTGATTAAGGAACCCAAAAAAAGGGAAAAAAAAAAGAAAAAAGGAAATAAATAAGATTATGGTCAACTTGCCTCTTTGATTGCCAAAGCTGAAGTCGTCGAAATATTATTCAATCCAGGATCAGGATGCAAAATGCTACTCATGATTCTTTGATGATTTAGCTAGCCTTAACAACATGACCATGCTTCTAAAATTTGCGAGTTTGCAAGTACAATTGTACGATTTTAAAATTCTAGGTCCCTAATTCGCGTTAACTTGTATAAATACAGAGTTGGCACATAAATGGTGATGGATGAAGGTTATTTAGCTGTTAGAACTCCGTCTTGTTCATTTACAAGCTAGCATTTACGATGTAATATAGCTAATGCTTTTGGAAAACGTTTGCAAGCCTTTACTTTGTTGGAATTTAATAGTTGAGGTTGAGCCTGAGACAAGCAAGGGAATGTTGATAGTTGCTACACAAAGCAGGTGTCTGATTTGGATTTTTCCCTTTGAAATTCGGAGAAGCATTACAAATGCAAATACTATATTTAGTTGCAAACTTTAATGGATCAAGGAAAAAGAGGACATCAACGAAAAAAATTTACCAAAATTTCATTTTGTTTAAGTTACAAGAAAAGAATTCAGCACATGGAATGGGGACAGGAGAAAATTTTGCAAGAACATCTGCTCAGTGATAGGCAGATAGAATCACATTCAGGACTCACTGCCTCTATCTGTAGGAATATAATAGTAGGTAAATAAGAAATAACAAAATGAAAAGCCGTTTACCAGTTTTGTATAATCAATTATATATGTCTTCGGCAAACAATCTGAGATTTTGGGACCACATTGATCAGCTTTCGTCATCAGAGTTATCAAATGTGATTTTTTTAGCCTTTGGTGCATCTGCAGAGATTTCTCTGAAATGAGCGCCGTATAGCTTTGATTCCTGCGTTAAGACACTAGGTGGTAAGTGAAGCTATAGATTATTTTTAACATAGGTGAGAATGACAGAAAAGAGTGGGAGAAGTTTATAAAAGGGCAGAAATATGGACCTTTTTCTTCACATGAGTTCCAAATTTCAATAAGTCAGCTGGCACAATTTGGCTGGCTTCTTTGAGCACATTTATCAGCTCTCCAGCAAGTCCCTGAAAGAAATTTATATCACTACTTGGAATGGAAGTTTGGAAGGCAGACAAAGCAAATCTGTTTAACAAGATAGAAGATATAGAGTATCATCCTTCTAAGGAAATTTGAATACCTTGTTTTGCTGAGTGAAGAATGTGTGAGCAACACCCTTCCGACCAGCCCTTCCAGTCCTCCCAATGCGGTGGACATAATCCTCTGTAGTTAGAGGGAAGCTATAATTGATCACTACTTCAACCTCGGGAATATCTAATCCTCGCGCAGCCACATCTGTAGCTACCTGAAATAGACGGTGTTAGAAAGCAGTCTTCACAGTCATGTAGTTTAAAGGACAACTGTCATTAGTCTCGACTGTAGCTGTAATTCATGATGAAAATCCAATTTAACTAGCAGGCTCAATTAATCATGCAGCACATCCATGTAAAACTTGGAATTGAAAAGTTAAATCCAAGAAAAGAAAAAAAAAAAGAAAAAAAGAAGAGAACACCTATATGCTGTTGTAGCTTACCATTAGAGGACAGCTTCCTTTCTTGAATAGTGATAGTGCCTTAGTACGGTCATGTTGTGCTTTGCGACCATGTATAGCAACAACATTCCAACCCCTAAAACAACAGTATAAGAAGTTACATACAAAAGGAAATAAACAGCCTATTACTGTATTACTATGGTAAACAAGTAAACAATTCTTCAGGGTAATTTCAAAAGTGATACTTAATTTCTCCTTTTCAACTAATGAATGGTATTGCACGGGCTAATTGTTTGATGTCAAGAATATAGGGCAAGGATGTAATTACCCTCGTTGCAGCATAATTTCAACACGATCAGCTTCTGCCTGGTACAAGACAAATACCAAAACTCTATTCCTGGTTTTAAAATCAAGCCTCCATATCAGCAGGATAAAAACAACCAGACTCCAGAATGAAAAAAATTAAAAAAATAAAGAATACTATCTTCAAGGTTGTGTTTTTTGCATAGGAAAGGGTGTCCAATAAATTCAACAGAGGTCCCTAGGCCAACCACAATATTTAAAAATAACACAACCTTGCACAAATAAGTAAAAAATTCAGCTATTTTCTCATCTTATGAGATTGGTGGAATTAAATGGTAGGCGACCACAAATACCTCTTAGATTCATGGTACTTTTTCAGCAAATCAATCAAGCGCTGATTACGTGATCGCTCATCCAAAACCTACACGTTTCAAATAAACATTGTTAATAAAGCTACACATCTCTCCGGTCTCCATGAGGAGTGATTAATAGATGCAGTTCTAGAGGGTTGTGCTAAATCAGACCTCAACTATCTGCATAACATCATGGTTGGCAGCTAAATCTTCAGAACCTATCACAACCTGCAAGCATCATTTTCCAAGTAAATAAAATAGGAAGAGGTTGAAACTTGAAAATGTAATTATAAATCAAGATCCAAACCTTAACAGGATCAGGATCCATGTACTCCTGAGCCAATTGATGAACTTCCAAAGGCCATGTAGCACTAAACATTACCATCTGTCGAGCTGCATGGGTTCAGAAGATAGGTGAGAATATCTCGACATTTCAATATGGGAAGCAATATTTTGCAAGTTAGAGCCATCATCAATTTTTTTTTTTTTTTATAAAAAAAAGGGAAGGTGAATTAAATGCAATATGGGAGGGCAAAAGAAAAGTAGATGCAATATGTAATTGATCAAATAAAAATTTAGCAGTAGCCCCTGAGGGCTTTCCAAACAGCAAATTCTAATATTAAAAGTCATGTCAAGAATGAGTTAGGGAGGGCCGGAGTGGAGGTGTTTCAGAAAGATAGAAAAAAAAAAAAAATTCTGATATTTGGACCAACAATAGCTTAGTTGAGTTGGTACCACTAACTTCAAAACCTTGATTTTAGGGTCAAGGGTTCAAACCCTTGCAACAGCAAGGCACTAAGTTTCTATGCCAAAAAGAAAAAGATACTAATATTTAGAATATACCAGAACTTGTCTTTCCCAATATAGAGCGAACATCCTCCTCAAATCCCATGTCAAGCATTCGATCAGCTTCATCTAGGACCTGCAGAGATATGAGCTTATTCATAAGAAAACAGATATAAGCTTCCCCCCACCCCACTCCTCAAACACTTAACATGTACAAAGAAAATAACAGAACAAAATTAGCTGCTTACCACAAAGGATACCTCTGAAAGGTGGCAGACTTCCATATTTATCAAATCCTTCAAACGACCTGGTGTTCCAATGACTATATCCTGAGGGTACAAAGGGAAACCAAAAGTTAAACAGGACACCATATAACAAATTGAAAAATAATGGGTAGAAAATCACCTCTCAAAGAAGAAGAAAATTATGATACAAAGCAAAATAATTTGACTAATGCAAGCAGCATAAATCATCTTATTAGAACCAAAGGAAATAATTTAAACTAAATGTACCTCAACTGGTCTCAATCCAGGAGAAAGCAAAATCAGAGAAAAATATCTAAGTAAATACAGCCATATAAAATAACTTAAGAGGAAAAAGGAATATCTTACAACACCAGACTTCAAGGCAGAAATTTGAGGTCCTTTAGGGGTTCCTCCATATAGACATACTGATTTCACACCACATGAATTTCCAGCATCACACAAAACATTTGATATCTGCAACAAGTAGATTAAAACCATATAAGTTGTCACATTTAATTAAATAACCTGCTTCTTAACAATCATTAGTAAGCAAACCCATGTTTCTGATAAGAACAAACATTTATTAAACATCTGAGCTTATAGTTTTTGCTACAACTTCTACATCTACTGGCAGATAAAAACTAGAATGATAACTTATTCATGGAAATCACAAATGCATCCTTTCAGTGGGTCAAAAAGGTAAAATTTCAGCATATGCCAAACCAATTCCAAACTACAAGACGCATAAATAGTTTCATACCTGCTCAGCTAACTCCCTAGTAGGGGAAAGTACAAGGCAGCGTGGATATGTCCCTTTTGATACTTTACCCTTTCGGTTGCGCAATACATGCATGATTCCCGGCACACCAAATGCCAAAGTCTTACCTAATAATCATACAAACCAAAATGACACAATAAGCCATAAAACAGAATCATAAAACCCAACAAAGTACAAAATCACAATGCTGAAATTTCGTGTCTAACCCATATCAGAATCACATCATACACAACAAGACTATGCATCAAGCTCCAAACTTTAAAACAGAAACTCTGTAATTCTAATTCCAGGAAATATTAACTTAAAAATTAAAAGAGAAAGAAACTAAAACCAGCTAACCAAACAGCCAAACAACCAACATTTGATATACACACCACAAAAGGGTAAAGAAAAAAAATACTACCTGATCCAGTTTTTGCAATGCCAATAAAATCACGGCCATCCAATAGAAAAGGCCATGCATGAGCCTGAATAGGAGACGGGCTCTTAAAGCTCTTGCAGCAATCCAAGACATTCTCCGGTAGCTTAGAATCAGCAAACGATTTCAAGGGAGCGTATTTCGCTTCTTCTGCATCCTTCCCACTAACTACTACCTTCTCCTTCCCATTTTCATCTCCAATCTGAGTTAATTCTCGCTTCACTTCGTGGATTTCACTTGGTTCTCCGTTTTTCTCATTTTTCTTCAGCTTTTTCTTCTTCTTCTTATGCTCTTCAGTTCTTTCACCAATTTCGCCACTTCCTTTGTGCTCGTCTTCCTGGGTTTCACTTCCAGCGGCTCCGTTCCTTTCCTTGTCTTTCTTTCGCTTTTTCTTATCTTTCTTAGTCTCTTTGAGCTCGATTTCTTCGATTTCTTGCGGCTTTTGATTCAGATTCCCTTCTTTTTGTTGCTCCAATTTTCTTTCTTTCTTCTTTTTCTTCTTGGTCTTCAATTCTGGATTGCCATCTATGGCTTCTGCTAATGGTTCTCTAGAGGGACTCATTCTTCTTCAACGTGAAACAAAACGGCGCAGAGAAAGAGAACCAAAGCAGAAGCCCTTTGCAAAGTCAGAAAGCGGGGATTTTATAGTAGGGTTTTAGGCTCGCAGTTCCCTTCGTTTTACCCAAGTGATGCGTTTTGAGATTTTTTTTTCATCTAATGATTTATTTTATACATAAGTTATTATATACCAAATTATAAAATAAAAATTATTAAATAAAAATGATCCATAATATTAGGAATGGCCCTATCTAATTGCTTTTTTTTTAAACATATTTTACAAAGGATGAATTTCAAACCCTACACAAGAGAAATGTATCGGTGACTAATATTTCTGACTAATATTTCTAAGCCTAAAGAGTCAGGTGCCCCTATCTAATTGTTTTAATTACGCAATCTACACTGCTCAATAATTTTCTAAAAACCATATAAGGCCTAGAAAACTTAATTAATACACATCCCCACATCTTAGTTGTCAGCTTTTTGTTTCCGTTCAACACAAGAAACCCCAGTCATCCTCAGTTAGCAACTCTCTTACTTATATCCAATCCCTTTCTCACTGTTATTTTAAATAAAAACTAGAAATATTTAAGCTGGAAATAATTTAGAATGGCAACCACCACCAAAATGATACAACCAAGAATCTTTTCTTTTTCTTTTTCCTTTTTTTTTTTTACAAAAAGAATCTTAACTTGTATTTGAAATTACAGTAAAATATTGTAATTATAGTTTTTTAATATTTTATTATAAAAATTATGTTATACAATAATATAACTACTAAATCATTTAAACATTAATTAAAATTAATTTTGTTATAATAAAATAACACTTTTATAAAATGTTGTGAAAAAAAAAAAACCCATTGTGCGGTCTACCTTAATTTCTTTAATGAAAATAACAAGAGGGTAATTTCGTAATCACACAGATTAATAATGCTCCATAGCAGCCAAGGACCATTCTCAACACTTTATTTCTTCTGTGTATAATTAAATATAAATAGGTAGACCGCAGACTTAATCACAACGCAAAAAACGGTTCAAGGAGAGAGAGAAAACAAAAAGGAGGAAAGGATAACAAACAGAAAATCATAAATTCAAGAAGGAGAAAAAAAAAAAAAAAAGAAGGGGAAAATGGGTCGTTTATCTTTCTCTTCATCAAAAACGTTACGACCATCTTTTTCTCTATGTTTCTTCAATATCATCTTCTTCTTATTCTCTTCCGTCGTTGCCTTCAATCTCTCCACTGTCTCCTTTGATGAAAATTACAGCCCTCTCTTCGGCGAACATAATCTCATCCAGTCCCCCGATGGCCTCAACATCCGCCTCCTCCTCAACGCTTACACAGGTAATATACATATATAGCCATGTATGCAAATTAATTAAGATACGTGATCTTGTTTGCCGATCCTAAAAAATTTTATATTCAGTAAGAAATTAATATTAGAAAATTTTTGTTAAAAATATCTTCTAACTTCAATAGAATGAAAGTTTTTGCCAAAACTTTTTCCTTGAAAAGAAGTGTAAACACACCTAACTTTATAAACCGTTTGATAATGGTATGTATCATCTAACGCA